GGACGACCGGTGCACAGAATTGAATGGTGGATTGGCTTGTCACAGCCTTTATGAGCTTCACAAAGACAATAAAGTGGCTGTCTCCTGTGGACCGACTCTGTGTTTACACGGCTGCTTTGTGTTGACATCCAGTCGAGGAGTTTGCTCGGCTCTAACTCAGGTGTGCGCGATAAATGCCACCGTGTCCCTCTGGCCACTGGTTCTTTTATTAGTGACCAGAGGCGCGTGATTGCTGTGTGGGACTATGCTATGGATTTTCTGTGTTCATAATAAAAATATCCAATAATGCTCTTGCTGTTGTGCTGATAGCCCATCGACGGAAGTAAAATTGTAGTAAAATTCACAAATCAGAGGTGGGTAGTACATTTTTATTAAGTTACGTTAGTACTAAGTTGTGGTTCCTCTTCCCGGTCTACAAGTGTCAAACGCTTCAAGTTGACAATATGAAACGATTTGAACATTTGTGTTTCTATTTTATTTTATTTTTTTAGTCTTACTTGAATAATTTCTTGGACGACTACTTTAAAATTCTGCTTGAGTAATATTATTTTGAAGTAGCCTTAATCTTACATTAATATAATTTTTGGCTCCTCTATCTACCGCTGTCACGAATGAACTTTTTACTTACTTACAAAATATTCATATCTATATTTATTCAGACCTCAGACCATGTTTAGCAGTAAAAGCCTCTGTCCAAAGCTGAGCTCACCAGCCTGTCACCCGTCACACTCCCACACAGTGTTTTCATTAGTGGGCATCAGATGATTAAGATAAAACTCTAAATGACGAATATTGTAGTTTCAGTTTTCTTGATGCTCTGGGAAACACTAATGAAACTACTGCACATTGGATCAGGTTGCTGAAGTTGTAGTGTATTGTTTTGTATCGTGCTGTTGTATACAGGATTCCCACAGTCATGGAAATCCTGGAAAAGTCATAGAAATTGTAAATGTCATTTTCCAGGCCTGGGAAAGTCATAGGAATTAGTAAATTCAATGAAAGTTTTGGAAAAGTCATTGAAATGTATGGTGAGGAGAAAATTCAGTTTGTCGTTTGGACAAAAGTTAGTTTGGTGGAAAACATTTCGCAGATCATCCAAGCTGCTTCTTCAGTTCTGGTCAGACGCTGGTGGACACTTCCTTATATCGAGTTAAATAACTACTCTGAAACTAACACACCTACTCGTTTACAGTTTCTGTTAGTTAATTGAAATGTAGTATCTCTTTCATGCAATTCCAGCGTTCTGTTAAATTCTCTTTAGACTATTCTGATTATTTCTGACAATCTGCGCCTTTTGTTTAAAAGAGACGACAATAAATGCACTGACAGGATTTTGAATGTTCAAAAACTATAATCCCAAACCTTAAAGTGAGTGGAAAGAGTTCACATGTCATATTTAGACCTAAAAGTCTGACCAATTCTACACATGGAGGTGCCATAAAGTCATGGAAAATTCACTTTAGGTCATGAAAAAGTCATGGAAAAGTTTTGAAATTTTGTCAGTGAAAAAGACTGGGAACCCTGTGTATATTTCTTGTCAGGCAGGAGCATGGGTGGTATGGCCTTATGGGCTGAGCTTTGGACAGGATCATACTGTAAGGTTTGAGTAGAACCCGGGAGAGATCACTAGATTACTCATTACACATCATACTTGTAGATTATAATGGCAAACAAGATTAAAAAAAAAAATGGTAACATGACGTTTTTCTTTCTGACAACAATATCTTGTTAAATTAAAAATGACTTAAAATGAGTGTAAAAAGTTGATGCGTAGTAAGATGTATTTTCATATCTTAAGTACACCAAGTCTTGTTCCACTGTCACGTGAAATTGACTCAAATCATGACAAAACTTTCTTAATTCAAGTCATCTTAACTTTTAGATTTAGTTGTTTGCAGTGTTAAGTCCAGGCTGATACAAAACCATAGAGCAGATTGTTGAGGAAACTTAGCACGGAGCACTTTGAGAAGTGAAAACAGACACAGTGATAGTGAAATGTGTTTGTTGGTTTTGTGTGCAGCAGATCAGACAGTAGAACACAGCGCCACTGTCTGGTCAGAGTGAGGAGTTTGTTTGGAGTTGCTTTCCTTGTGCACAGATTGTTGTTCTGGAGTGAGATATGACCCAACAAAACCAGGCATTCTTTTGATCGTTCTTTTTTCTTTTTGATTAAGCATTCTTTTGATCATTCGTTTTTGGCAGGATAGACACTTCCAGACACATTGTTGCCTCTCGTAGTCTGTTTTCAGTAGTGCAGGTAGGAGATCAGCTCAAACCCTTGGTGGAGATTGGTGTGATAAATACACACATCCAAAACCGCTGTGACTTTATTTCTCTGATCAACTGGACCATCGTTTAGATCATTTCAGCCCTAGAACTGCCAGTCTCTACTCAACAAATCATAGATGTAAACTTCTAAACAACAGCTTCATGACATCACGAGGTGAAACTGAACATTTTGAGTTTTGGAGATGCAGACAGACTAATAAAAAAAGAGATCCTCAAACATGTGAATGAAACAAAACACAACTCCAGGTCTGTTTTTGAGGAGGTTAGCACATTATAACATAGCTTAGAGTGAGTGAGATAATTTTGTGTAATTTAGAGTTTTTAATGAGCCCTTTGAGCCCAGTCAGTCTTTTGAAGCAGCCTCTTTCTTCTTTGTAGATGCTACATTCTATTAAGACGCGTTTGCTGTCTCCTCTCTCTTCTTTCATAATTGCGAGGGAGTGAGGCTAATAAATATTAGAATGTTTTTAAATGTTGTCTAGTTTATGTGAAAGGTCTATAATGGAAACTCCCAAGACTGTTTCAAATATTCATTTTTTACTTTGATCTCTGCTTTGCACTTGTCATTTCTTGACCCTGACGTGGCACAGCTGGAGACTCCATCATGAAGCGAAACAAATTGTTCCACATATCTTGCAGCTTATGTCTTCTATTTATATCAAATGTAGAACGTAGCAAACTTAAAGAAATGTGTGTCCAAACGTGTAACTGGTGCTGTAAACATTGTTTCATAAGAGCTGATTCACTGAAACCCGATCACTGTGCAGTAAGAGCAGACTGGCCCTCACTGACCGTCAGCACAGAACAACACTGTGTGAAATGTATTTATAATGGACTTGATAGACTGTCTGAAGGTTTCACATGTTTGTTGAACTTTGATATGGGAACTTCTACGACAAGACCTCACCATGGTTCACGTCTGAAATGGGGAAACAGTGTTTGGTTACTTTGCTTCCCACAAATAGAACACATTTCACACACATGCAAAACTGGACTCACTGGAGCCGCTGCATCTGAATTAATCTGGACATAGACACGATCACCTCTGCTTTTGTTTTACTGTTTTAAATGGACCTATGCCGTTTTCTGTTTTTGTTCATTTTCTTTTGATTCTCAGTATTTTGTACTGGGGGCGACAGTAGCTCAGTTGTTGTGAGTGTTTCTCCACCGATCCAAAGGTTGGTGGTTTGAATCCCGCTCTCACAGATAAATGCTGTCATTGTGTCCTCGGTCAAGACACTTAACCCACCTCGCCCCCAGTGTGTGTGTGTGTGTGTGTGTGCGCACTGGCATGGGTGCACACAGAATGTCTGAGTGGTTCCTTGTTGTAAAGTGCTTTGAGTGCCTTGAAGGTGGAACAGCGATATATAAAATGTGTCCATTTACCATCGTGTTTGTCTTGTTTGTATTGACAAGGTGCTCATGAAAAAGAGAGTCTGGTTCTTTCATTGGGTCCACCCTGTATAAAGAAAGAGAAATGAAATGAAATAAAGACTACATACATGGTAACAAAGCCTGTCTGCACTATACAATATATGGACTAGACGCAGAAGGTTAAACTTTGGTTGTTGGGTGTTGATGTGATAGAGTGTGATCTTTGTTGCTTGTGTTACAGGTGGAGTCTCCTCTGGCTGTAGATGCAGTCCTGGGGGAGGCGGTCTTCTCCGTCACCGATGACAAAGTGTCCATCACAGATCTGCGTGTGCACGCTGTGTCCGGCCTCAGCATGTCCGTCCAGCCCAGCCCCGGGAACAGCCACACCATGGTGGCCAAAGCTGCGGGGGTGCAGACGCTCTCCGCTCCCAAACAGGTACAGCACCAACCAGGGGTATGGTTTAGGAATAAAATAGTGTCACTATACTAACATTTCGGGACTAAGGACTCACTCTTCATGCTATACCAATACTAGAGTTAAAATTAAACAAGCTCCTGTTATAGGATGTACTTTTTCACACTCAAAATAAAATGTTCTTTAACACAAGGTCGCATATTCATTCTGATAAAACTGAAAATCACACTTAAACTGTTCAGGAAAACTCAGATTTTGTCCCGTTAATGTGACTTTTTTTTTAGTATTGATATTTGCTCAAATGAGTATCTAGTTTCAATACTTTTGACAACAGCTCAGAAAACATTGTGTCAGTACAAACTGAGGGACCAGGTACAAATACTCCTGCAGGGTTCACATATTCATTGTAGTTGAAATCCCCCAATAATATTCTGACCGAAGAAGTGAGTTGGTAAAGTACAAATCTGTAATCTGTGCACAATAATGCACAGCAGCCTCCAGCCCCTCACAGGACCCTGAAGGCCTGAGGCATGAACTTACACCATGAGGCCTGTACCGACCCCCACACACACGGAGCAGAGCAGAGCAGGAGCAGAGCAGGAGCAGACAGGAGCAGACAGGAGCAGACAGGAGCAGACAGGAGCAGAGCAGCAGAGCAGGAGCAGAGCAGCAGCAGGAGCAGACAGGAGCAGAGCAGAGCAGACAGGAGCAGACAGGAGCAGAGCAGGAGTGGGGAAGAGTAGACAAAAATGGGCAGGGGCACGTGCCCTTTCTCAAGCACCTGCCTGTGTTTGTGTGTGTCTGTGTGTGTGTGTGTGTTTGTGTGTGTTGTGTGTGTCTGTGTGTGCTGTGCCTGTTTGTGTATTGGGGTGTTTGTGTATCCGTAAGGTTACATTTTATCCAAGTTTTCTTCGTTCTCTATAGATCACAAGAAATACTACTCCAGCCTACCGAACGCCAGAAATGATTGACCTTTATTCCAACTTCCCCATCAATGAGAAACAAGACATCTGGGTATTTCCTTCACCCCTTTACTTTTATATTTTTATTATATAGGTCATGCCACTCTTATCCATGACTCTAAGAGGGTAATTAAGTAACATTGCTTTTGTTGTATTTCTTTTAATTTCAGGCTCTTGGGTGCATTCTTTACCTGTTGTGTTTCAAGCAACATCCATTTGAAGATGGTGCCAAACTGCAAATAGTCAATGGGAAATACACCATCCCACAGAATGATGCCAAATACACTGTGTATCATGAACTAATTCGTACGTAAATGTGTTTCACCTCCAGGTTGTGTGTAAGGTTTTTTGTACTAGCTGATTCTTTTATTCTCTCTGATTCAAATACACTGTAATTATTTCTTTTCTATAACAATTTAAAACAGATTTGTAGTGAAATCTGAGCTCCCATCAGCCCTTCTAGGCTGATGTTTCAAATTATCCTCGCTATAAACGCTGTGATTACAATGTTAATCTGTGTTTTTTTGTATCGGTCCCTATCAAATAAACAACACATTTCTCAAGGCTGTGTTCACGCACACATCAAAATCAGGACAAAACTTGGTCTAGATCAGGATGTCCATATCAGGGCAAAACTGGAATAAAATCAGGACTTGGGTAAACACAGCCATTAACTCCACTCTGTAAAATCATGTCTTTTCTGTCCTTCTTTTTAAAGGTTCCATGTTGAAGGTGAATCCAGAGGAGCGTCTGTCAATCACAGAGTTAGTTAACCAGCTTCAGGAAATAGCAGCTGCACGAAACGTCAACCCTAAGTCTCCTATTACAGAGGTGTGCATTCATTTTGTATCTTTTAGTGCATTGTAGTGAGGGTCTTTGGCTATTTGCTTCCGTCTGCAGTGTGGACATGGCTGTTACTGATGTGAACCCACAGACACACAAAGCTTTCTCTATTGACTTTCCTGGGCTTGTCTCTGCCCAGCTGGCATCATCCCAATAGACTCAAACAAGACTAAGAGGAACTGAATAAGGCCAAAAACAAGCACTGTCAAATCAAATCACTAATTTGCATAGTACTTAAATATTTTTGTGATCTTTCATATGTTTATTTTTATATTTATTATACCATTTCATTGCTTTGATTTGAATATTTTTTCTTAATTGTAAATAGCACCCTATTCAAGTAGAATCAAAGAAAAAGACTTGACCATATTATGGAAAATTGACTGTTATGAGCTTTAAAATATGTTATAATGTCATCACCTCACCAGAAACATACCTGGAGTTGTGTTTTGTCTCATTCACACATGTTTGAGTAATCCTTTATTATTAAATTGTTAAATGTGTCAAATTTATGATTAAATGCTCTGTTCCACCTTGAGATATCATGAAGCAATAGTTTTCAAGTTAACACCTACCTTTTACCTTTAGAGAGTCCAGGGCTGAAATTATCCAAATAAATCTAAAATATTAAAAACACAGTGAAGCACCTCCCCTATTACCACATGACATCACAAGGTGGAACAGAGTGTTTTCTGTTTGAGAGAAGTCTAAATATGCAGGGTTTGTGTGTCAAACATCTATGAATGAAACAAAACACAACTCCAGGTATGGCGTTTTGATGAGGAAACATAGATCAGGAAATAACATAATATGGGCCTTTAAAGTCACACTATGTAACGTTATAGACCAAAAAATGTCTTTTTATATATTTTGGTTGTTTTTATTGGATTCAAAAACATGCACCCTTATTGCGAGCAGGCTTGTATCACCATAAACCTGACTCTTACTTGGCCTGGAGGAGTTTGGCTAAAATTTCCTACATTATTTATCTCCATGGAGAATGTTTCGAAGTTTGATTCTAACTTTCTATTTCCATGCATCATGCAGGCGATGTGCCACCTCCAGAAAATTTCATACAGTTTTTTTTAAATGGATTGAATGAATATAATAATAATAATGGATATTGAAACAATTGCAACCCCCTTACCTGTACATTTACCCGTAAGTCTAAACTACAGAGCAGCTGCAACATTAATATTTGTGTAATAATTTAAATACTGAAGACAATATCATGCTTACATTTGATCAGTAAATATCAGAGTAGAGTAAATGCAGATTTGCCCATTGGCAATCTGATTAGGGTTAAGAAGGGGTTTCCCTCCTGGACCTAAGGAGATTATTTTCCTCCCATGTGCCCTCCTCCTCCTTGTCCTCATCCTCCTCCTCCTCTGCAGACATATGGAGAGGCAGACGTAGGTAGACGCACTGAGCAGAGGAAGGGAAATGAGACTCACAAGGCAGTGTGTTAAACTATATAAAAGTATACCACTTTTTACGCTGCTAAATATATGTTTGACATTTATCTGAAAATTTAAGGGATGTAATATTTTTCTGCCTTTGTTTAATTGATCTATCTTCCTAAAGGCTTTTTTTCTGATTAGCTACAATGTTAAGTACTTATTACTGTTGGCGTCCGGTGTATGATGGCTATGAATGTCTGCAGCTGCTGGAACAGAATGGAGGCTTCGGTAACAATGGAGCTCAGCCACCCGCACAGATCCACAATGTCCACAACAACGCAGGTACCACACTTTCTTTTACTTTTGATATGTGTGTGATGCTGGTCATATACTGTTCTTATACATAGCAGCTCGTGATATTGGTTTCATTGAAATATGATCAGGGTACTCCATGCAGAAAGGACTCAAACACTCACTTGCACTCACTAGGTCACTTGAAGAATAAAGGTGTCATTAGGTCACAGTTCAATATCTTTACATGGTAAACATACATGGTAGCTACCAGATGAAAGTATGTCTTTATGCCCTTTTTATACCAAAAATAGTAGCGTGTGTGTTTTACTGTTATGCTCACTGAATTTGATTATATTATTTTCTTATAATATTCATATTATTATTCCATACTTTCTCTACTGCAGTCATTAAATATTGTGTGTTTTGAAACTTTTGGTAATACAAAATACAAATCTATGCTTAATTATCTGAGGTTAATAAAATAGATGGATAAATACATTGTTAGACAGTTCTACAATAGAAACACTACAAAACATTGACTTTTACATTTGTGTAGGTAACAGTGTGAGTATCCACTCCAGGCAATTTATTGATCTCTTGTTTGGTAATTGTATAAACTGAAGTTGCATTTTTAAGAAAACGCCCAATGTCGGGTGTGAACTCCTCATTAAGAGGATTGCAGTGAACTCCAGTTCACCATCTGTCCAATGGGGAAATGTGTTTGATCTTTCCTTGTTGCTATGTTGTTTTTCACTTGATCCTAAAAGCAATCTCTTAGGGTTCAGATTTTTCTGGTAATTTTTTTTTTTACATAAATTTGCAAATAATAGCAAGAAAGAAAATAAATATATTATTAAATATGATATTATTCCTCCTATTATATTATTTTGAAATTGTGTGTTGTTATTACATTTTATTTGTTTTTCACCTCTATATTGTAGGCATATATGATCCTGACCAGGCAGGGAGTGGTCTTCTGGACATTTTGAGAGGAGGGACCGAGCGCTTCCTCACCAACATTAAGGATACATCATCTAAGGTCATCCAGTCAGTTGCAAGGTAAGACACTCCACAATGTGATGATTTAAACCCCCCATTCTCAAAACATAATATAATATTTTATTTTATTTGCTGCATCATTTAAAATATCACACTTTCCCATTGTTTGTTCCTATTTTGTTTATTTTTTGTTTCTATTCTCTGTCCCAATCCCTCATGGCCCATTATGTGTCCATCAACCTAGCAACCCAAGGTAAATACAGGTCCCTGACACGTGCCATGTCCAGTTCTGTGTTGTAGTGCTGTATAATTCAGCAGAAAGCTCACCAAATCTGCTCTTAGCTCCTGTAAATTCACCCATTTATGTAGACTAGGTGAATGAAGCATGTGATGAATGTTGTGTACTTCATGAAATAATAAAGAAACAGCAACTTTGCTCACATGTGTGTATCCTCATTGTGGATGATCTTGGACAAAATTTAGACCTTAGTGCAAAATCAAAGTGAGAACATGGATAATAATTTTCCTTTATTCATCTCAATTGAAATATTGGGCAATTTTACTGTCTATATTACACAACATTTTGAATGAGTGGTGAGTATGTGGCATACTAAGCAAACATTTAGCTACTTTGCGCTAACCGTCATCCAGTGATACAATCTAATTCAATAGTAATAACTAACCTTGTGTAATTTCATCAGCTTCTAGGGACCATCATCATATTGTCTTTGTTATAAACCCTCTGGATGCTCCACTGTGTTTTTGTTTTGTGGCTTTTTAGAATATTGATAGTAGAATTCAACCTTAATTTTTCTTTGTAATTTATGACCTTTGATTTTCAGTTTGAACCCTTCGTTTTTTCTGTTACAGCTATGCCAAAGGAGATTTGGATATTTCCTACATTACCTCCAGAATAGCAGGTGGGACGTGTAACATTTACAAACAAACATATTTAATTGCCTTTGTTGGACACAGATTTTATTTTTGAATGTTGTTTGTGTGCAGTGATGTCATTCCCAGCTGAGGGGGTGGAGTCAGCCATAAAGAATAACATAGAGGACGTGCGCTTGTTCCTGGATTCTCGTCACGCCGGTCACTATGCTGTGTACAACCTTTCCAAACGCTCCTATAGACCCTCGCGATTCCACAACAGGGTGTGTGCTATAGCCACTTGGGGATGAAAATAGTATTAAAGAGGAGTAAAAATAATTTACTCTGGTTTACATTAACAATGCCATTCGTGTTTGTTTAGGTGTCAGAATGTAACTGGCAGTTGCGTCGTGCCCCCAACCTCCGAAGTCTCTACAGTGTCTGTAAAAACATGCACCTGTGGCTGAAACAAGACCAGAGGAACATTTGTATAGTTCACTGTTTGGTCAGTATATTTGTCTATTCCATTTGTCAGTATTAAAATGGTGTATTCACAAGTACTTGGCTTTTGTCTCTAGGATGGCCGAGCAGCGTCTGCGGTCGCAGTCTGTTCCTTCCTCTGTTTCTGTCGCCTTTTCTCCACAGCTGAAGCTGCTGTTTACATGTTCTCAATGAAACGCTGCCCACCTGGAATCGCTCCTTCTCACAAGAGGTAAGTTTACAGATATTAATGACTGCCTTTGAAACTTTAATTTTGGTTGGTTATTATGAATGTTTTGTTTTGGTTAGGTATATTGAATACATGTGTGACATGATGGCAGAGGAGCCCATCATTCCCCACAGTAAACCCATAGTCATTCACTCCATTGTAATGACGCCTGTGCCACTGTTCAACAAACAACGCAATGGGTGTAGGCCATTTTGTGAAGTTTATGTAGGAGATGAGCGTGTGCTCACTACATCTCAAGAGTATGACAGAATGAAGTAAGTAACTACTTCCATCAGTCTACTTAAAATAAAGATGAATATTTTGCCTTTTAAATGCTCTGGTGTTTATTCTTATCTTTGTAATTTTACAGAGATTACAAAATAGAGGATGGAAAAGCTGAAATTCCTCTTAATGTGACAGTCCAAGGAGACGTGCTGGTTGTGATCTATCATGCAAGGTCCACACTGGGAGGACGTCTACAGGCCAAGGTCTGCATATATCTATATTATATTTTATGTGTAATATATTAGATGGCTTAAAACAATGAAATGTGTATCTTTGAATTTTTTGTTGATTAGATGGCTTCCATGAAAATGTTCCAAGTTCAGTTCCACACAGGATTTGTCCCTAGAAATGCAACCACTGTGAAGTTTGCAAAGTATGTATTTATGTTTCTATTTAAAATAACATAACCCTTCTCTATTGCATGCATTTGGTAATGAAAACTATAAGCATATGCAACATGTATTTTGCATTTGTACAGATATGACTTGGATGCATGTGACATTCAGGAGAAATACCCAGATTTGTTCCAGGTCAACCTGAACATTGAGGTTGAACCAAGAGATCGACCAACCACCAAGACTTCCCCATGGGAGGGCTTCCAGACCAAGGGCCTAAATCCTAAAATCCTTTTCTCCTCTCGAGATGAACAACAGGAGATCCTCAGCAAATTTGGTAAGTGACATTTGGATTATAGGTTTATCTTCTCTTTAGAGCAGGCCTAGTCATAGAATTTGTTCCTCCATTAGCAGTCTATTTTTGTGACTTCAAAGGTTGTCTAAGCCTTATTAATCACTACCTTTCAGGTAAACCAGAGCTCCCTCGACAGCCTGGATCCTCGGCCTTTTATGATTCTGAATCGCCACCGACAGCTCAAACCCCTGACAGCTCAAACACTACAGAAATCGAGTCTCCTGCAAGCACAGACACCAATGCAAACAACTTCTTCCAAACTCTTGACTGGGAAGGTACTCATTGCCTTTTGTTTATTCTGATCATTTCTATAATAAAACATGCCCTGACTGTAACTGGCCATGGTGCTGCTGTGTTACAGATGCTTCCAGTCGCCATGATGACGGTCAAACAGGTGAATCCTACAATGACCAGGACACTCTGAGTGACCAGTCTGATGGAGAGTCCGTGTCCTACTCTGCTCCAAGTGGAGAGCCCTTGTCACGAGACACAAGTGAACCACTCTTTGATGCTGACTTTCAGGTGGGTCAGGTCTTCAAATCTCATCAGCTCAAAATTAATGTAGTGCAAGTAGACTAAATGTTTTCTTTCTTTTTTTTTGTTTCCAGATGCACCCTCCTCCTGCCCAGGAACCTGCCTCAGATACAGCTGACCTCTTGGGATTAAACTCTGACCCTGTCTCCTCATCCTCTGGTCCCCACTCTGCAGCACAAAGTGGCATGAAAGCCGCCTCCAGCAACAGTGACCTCCTTAATGACTTTTTTGCTCCCCCTCCTGGAAGCTCAGGAGCAGTGCAGGAAGATTTGTTTTTTAGTGGAACCCCCCAAGACACAAAACGTAAGCTTATATTTTGTCTACAACTACAATATCACTTCGGACTACCACTAGTATTTATTCTGCTTTTTCTTTATATCTTACAGCCATGAGTGACTTGTTTGATCCCTTTGGAATGGGCTCTAGCTCTAGTGCAGCCTCCTCTCGTCAGGAGTCTGGTCCAGACCTGTTTGAAAACCTCATGGGTTCTGAGAGTTCTACCACCAGTGGATTCAGCTCAGCTCACAGTAATGCTGCACCAGCCTCCAACACTAGTCTCTTCAACCTTAGTAAGTTATATTTCCAGTGGTAGTTCATAATATAAATTTTGACAACATAATCTCTTTTTAATCTGTGTATATCTTCACCCCCAGACAAATTAACAAATGACACCCCTAAAATGACATCTTCAGCCAGTCAGCCTGACCTCCTGGGAGGCTGGGACAGCTGGGCCTCGAGTGGTTCTACTGGCATGGGCTCCTCATCTAGCAAACCTAACTATACAAACACAGGTACTAATGAAAACTCATCATCTCATTATATTGTCCTTGTTCTGTTCCATTTGAACTGGAATTAAACACTAAATCAACTGTTTTTTGCTACTGAACTAATGCAGGGTTTTAATAGTACTGTGTACTGTTCCTAGTCCTTTGAGGCAGTTTTAGGCTTTCTGTTCAAAAACAGTGCCTTCAGTGGCCACTACAATTTCATGTACTATGTGGCATCACACAAGACTTCCTGATTACAGCCAAATGTTTCTGATTACAAACATGTCACTACAGCAGCAGAGTTTGAAATGTGGTCCTTATACTGCCATAATTTAATACACATTTAGGCTCAAATAACATTAAATTATAACCAACCTCCCTATTTCCCAATTAATAATATGGCCTTGTGTAATATTTGTATTTTCTTCATAGCATCTGGTGTCTCATCTATGTCAAAGGCAAAGTCCCAGACATTTGATCCTTTTGCTGACCTGGGAAATTTAGGCTCCAATTTACCTGGTAAGAGAAGTTCTTCCTTTTAGATATTTGTCTATCTGTTTATTATGTATTAATTCATAGATTCATATTCATTTTTCCAGGTTCTTCAAGCAGTAATTTTTCTGGCTCCTCTTTCAACTCAAAACCTGCCCCTTCATCCTCTTCATCTTCAACTAAACCCCCAAATCAGTCGTGGCACCCGGGGAGACCTGCTCCAGCCCAAAACAAAACCTGGATGCCATCATCGGGGTCTGCATCCATTCCCAAGCCCCCTCCAGCTCCACAGCCCTCCAAACCCAACTACAACCTCAACTTCTCCAGTGTCATTGGAGGAAGAGAGGATCGGGGTCTGCGGGGGCATGGCTTTGGTGAGAGTTTCAGTATATCATTTTAACTAATATGACACACTAATAGGATATTTAATATAACTGTTTTATTATGATTCAGGTCCCAAGCCAAAAGTGAAAGAGGATGACTTTGAGGACTTGCTCTCAACTCAGGGTTTTGCTTCTAAACTTGACAAAAAGGGTCCAAGGACTATAGCTGAGATGCGAAGACAGGAGATGACAAAAGAAATCGATCCACTCAAATTACAGGCAATGGCTCCTCACATTACATGCCGCACTAAGCCACACTGCCATCTATGACAAGTTGTGATCAACCTAGTGCTTTGTGTTCTGTAGATTCTGGACTGGATTGAGGGGAAGGAGCGAAACATCCGCGCTCTGTTGTCCACTCTCCACACTGTGTTATGGGAGGGGGAGACGCGCTGGAAGCAGGTGGGCATGGCAGATCTGGTCACTCCAGATCAAGTCAAAAAGTACTACAGGAAGGCTGCGTTGGTCGTCCACCCAGACAAGGTACATGTTCACTGGACTAAATGTGTTTGCTTGTCTCTCAGTTGTATTGACAATGTTTCATCATTTCTTTTAGGCAACTGGTCAACCGTATGAGCATTATGCAAAAATGATCTTTATGGAACTAAATGATGCCTGGTCAGAGTTTGAAAACCAAGGATCAAAAGCCCTGTTTTAAGAAAGTGGCCAGGATCCGTGGCAGACCAGACTGGACTGGTCTGGGCCCAATGCACATTTGACAAAGGGTTAGACTGAGCCCACATTGGGCCATAGGGGTGAGCCTCTGGGAGGTGTCCTCTCTACATTCCCTTAATCCCCTGGTCACATTTCTCTGCAATTTCTTCACAAAAGGGAAATGTGTGCTGCCTAAATGTGGAGATTATTATGGACATTATAGTTTCTGCCCACAGACATGGCAGTTAGTGTAAACTCACTGCCTTCTTTTACAAAGGCTTCAGCGGTGCTGCAAAAACAATGGCAAGACCAAGTGGACAATCAAAGGTTAAAAAAAGAAAAACATAATTTTAGCAGTGACTGAAGCAAAACAAAGATTTTTACATAAACAGACAGCGGGTAGATGAATCTGGTTTCTCATGCACTCCATTGTGATATTGTCCAATAGCTTTTGACTGGAGACACCAATTACTTGGCTGTGCAATCTTCAGCATGCAATCACACACTTGATTACTTAACAAAACCTTAATATGATCATCAAAGAAAATCAAATATTGAAGAGTGGTCAAAGCAAAAGTGTTTTCTCTTGCCTCAAATGCTGAAGGAAGAAAGGATTGGTGCTGATAAGTTCCATGAATATATTAAAGTGCCACTCCTGCACCTTTTTGAAGGTAACTCCTGTTGGGGTTTATTTTTGAAGCCTGTCCAACACTACAGCACTACTACTGCTTCTGATGTTTCAGCTCAAATTCCAGTCTAAACCTGCATCCCCAGCTTCTGGTCTGTGAATGGGAAGCTGCACTTGTTTTCGGAGCCCAGTATAATCCTATGTTTGCCGTTGTTTTGAAGTGCTCTTTTTATTCTGTGTTAAAAATGTTGTCCCTAATGTGAACTGCATGCTGTTACACACCAAAGCCTCTGAGCAAAGGAGAGGTGTGTTTAAACCATACCAGGGTAGTCCCACATGGGCCAGCTCTCACATTCAAGTGCTCTTTCCTTGTAGCAGAAAACGTCTACCAGCTCAGTCAGGCTTCTGCTTTGACTGGCATATAGTATCACAGCAGCCCATGTTTTTAGTGAGGCCTGCTATTTACAGTGCAGTGCAGAGTTATATGTGATCAAATGAAGGACAATGGACAATTTACATTTCTCTACATTTTTATTATCATCATTATTTGATTCATTATGGCTATTTTATGTCTTGATCATTAAACTACAGTGTAAATAGAAAACACCATGCATCAAGGCTCTGTTTGGATTCCAGCTTGGACAGATGATTGGGTCCAGAGCTCCATCTGACAGTGTGAATGTGCTCAATGTGTGAGAGGACCTTCAGGGCAAGATAATTAAACCTTTTTAGGCATCACAGTTCTTTTGTGTGCACTTTTCAATCCTTATTTTTGCAAACACGCGTATATTCATTTTGTATTTCCATTGGTATTCTATATTTTATTCTATATATTTTACCTCATGGACCAATCAATCTATCCACTTTCTTATTTATTATGTTTTGGGTGGGGGTAGTGGGTCATGGAGATGTATTGATGAACAAGATAATTACAGATAATATATAACATGGAATCACATTGAATTTCTGTGTTTCATTCCAAAGCATCTATTATGGACAAGAATGTGCTTTTACTCTTAATATATCTTCTCTGTTGGTATCCTGTGTCTTTATCATTTGTGTAGTCTATAGGTATTTGTCTTATTCATATGATTAAGTTTAGCATTGAGTTGAAATTCCAACATGAGGGGCCAGTGAATTCAAGTTTGATTATTCTATTAAGGATGAGATTTGAAAATGACTCATTGGCAGTGTTTACTGTACCAAATTACATTGTACTAATATGAATGTAAATTTCAATGCAAAAACAAAGAATTAATTAAAATATTTGATCTGATTCTAAGTCTGTTTATTATTTTTCTAATAGGACTGTGCCAGACCGTAGACCAAATTTATTTTTTTATACAATCTATGGTAGACAGAAAATGCCCATATTGTATTATTTTCTGATTTCTGTTATAATGTTGTTTCCTCATCAAATACATACCTAGAGTTGTATTTTGTTTCATGTTTAACCGTACATACTGTATTTAGGCTGAGTTCTTCTCTCAGACAGAAAACACCATTCCAAAGTTTTTTTAAACTCTATAAACCTGCACTAGAATAATTTGGATGATTTTAGCCTTGGACTTGCCGATCTCTTCTGAACAAAAGGAAAAAGGTAGCTGTTAACTTGAAAACGATTGTTTCACAAGGTGGAACAGAGCATTTTGAGCTTTGGAGATGTAGACAAACTAATAATAAAGGGTTTCTTAAACGTGTGAATGAAACAAAACACAACTCCAGGAATGTTTATGATGAGGTAACAACATAGCTTAAAACTCACCAGGCTCAATTTTGCGTCATATAGGACCTTTAAAAGTGAGCATGTACTAAATCAAAATCAAATTGCATTTTTATTTTTGATAAATTTTATTGCAGAACTGAACTGTATACATCTGAATTGTATACAATGTAAACAATGTGTGTATTTTAAGGAAACATTTTGTACTCATTACCACAAAAATTAAAGGTTTATTCCAAAGGCTATAAACTTAAAAGAATATGTCAACCTTGGTGATTCTTAAAAAAAAGAACGTTTAAAGCTCAGCAATTAACATAAAACACAGAACCGTATCGCCTCCTCTGGTCCATACAAATCGAATAAGAAAATTGAGTTCATGCTTAAAAAACATTACTCTCCAGCAGCGGTGGCTAGTAATCCTAAACTTGTAAGAAATCTAGCTTTACACAATCGGTTCTTATTCTAAAAGAACTGGAGGATGAACAGAAAAACAATGTGTGAAAATGGCATTGGAAAGGACATCAGAATACAGAATACAGAATACTTCCCATCTTCCTTCATGAATGAATACTTGAAATTCAACAGTAGGAAAACTTGAATGGTGAGTGGTAATACTTTGTGATAAATTCCAACAGTTTTTCAAATAATATTTTCTTTTTTTCCAAATAGGAGGTAACTAGGAATTTGTATTTGTAAGATGTTAACAAAATAATAAGAGTTGAATTTTTATGAATGTGTTGTGCAGATTTTTCATATGAGTGGCAAACATTCTGGGGCAGTTTCAGATGTGATTCTTCTCACAGGTTGACATCTGGTCTGGAGTCCGGCAGGAACCAGGGTGAGAAAGGCACTTCAAAGTGTGGAGGGACATGCAATATCCTGAACATCCCAATAAACTCAAAATACAAAATTCAGTAGGTTGATCTGCGCCAAACCTCTAAAGTCCTCCAAAATTACTGAGGGGAATCTGAAAGAAAGGATTTAGTTAAAAGCATGCTCGTTTACTAACAGGTCAGGGGTGAATGTAGTTTGAACTTACAAAAAAACAAAGTGTGTTCATATGGGTCTAAATTTCAAGACTTGAAACCTCTGGAGTCTGTTTTATCCACTCTGTTTCCACAAACATGTTCTGAAAAAGTCAAGTCAAGTCAGCTGCAGTAGTTCATATTCATTTGCATAACACAAACACAATGAACTGTTACAACTTACAACTGAAGTATTGGTTAGTGATGCTTCCTCCATCGGACATGTCTCTAAGCTGTCTGCAGCGTCATCCTGAAGGAGAAGAGGCCAGTTAAAAAAATAACACAATATAAGTGTACACTTTAAATCAAAACTCACAGTGAGCACTTCTTCTGTGGATGTGTCCAGCTCTGGCTCAGGCACTGTCTTTGCAGGTCCAAGGCCAAAGATCTCACACACTGCCACTGTTGGCTAATGTAAAAGAGGCACACCTTTTAGTAATTATATAACATTATAACAGTAATATTTTGTTATGTGATTGGCATCATTCAAACCTTCTCAAAAACAGGCAACAGTTCAATGGTTGTGGGTTCAATCACCTCAGCAGAAGTGTCTGTGACAACAAAGTCATCCACCATCACGTCAGCTGTGTCCACTGGAGCCTAAGCAGACAGATAATGAAACACGTGTTCAAACTCTGAACTTTATTTAAACAGTCACAGGACAAAATGCAGTGATTATTTGTACCTCCTCTATCTGAGTAACAGGCTCTGGAGCGGCGGTTAGTGGAGGCAGAGGAAGAGCATCAGGTTCCTAAGAAAATCATCACAAGATTAATCAAGACATTACTTTACACCAGTCAAAATAATGGAAGTCAATTCTATAAAACTCACCACAGAGAGTCCCCCATTTGGAATGGGTGCATCCTGGATAGCAAAAGAGACAAAATATTATTTTTACCATTATTATTACTATTAACTTGTTTATGTTTTTTCATAACTGAGATTAAAAGTGTTAGATAACAGAGAACATAGATGAAAACAGTGTGAGCTTCTTCATATGACAGACACAAATGGCCATGATTTGATGTTAAAAACAAAAAGTTATTTTTTTTAATCTTCTATTTTATGTATCTATGTATTTATTTATTTTTCTATGCTATCCATATTTTGTGTGATCCAAGATAAACTTTTACAACAAATCTGGGCCATTTTAGAGAACACATACAGTACACGTGAATCACACACAGAAAAGTGTGGAACGAAGGTGGGGAAAAAAAGAGATGAAAAAGAATAATGAAGATTAGTTTTGGTGTGATACTGGCACCTGTGTGATCTGATTAGTCTCTGCAGGAGTTTCTTCAGGCAACACCTCCATCTCACAGTCATCTTCCTCTTCTTCAGATGAACAACTCTCCTCCTCTTCCTCCTCAGACACAGATCCACTCTCCACACACTCCACCACTTGTGTGACAACCTCAACTTCAGTCACTTCTGTTGCTGGTTCGGGTACAACACATTTAGGCTCATCTACGGCCACCTCGACCGGCTCCTCCTCCTCATCACTCTCTTCAGATTCAGAGGACACTTCTTCAACATCGGCCTCAACATCTGGCTCAGTCACGTTGAGAACTTCTTCCAGTTCTGTTGGTTCGGGTTCAACTAATTCAGGCTCAACAGATTCTGTCTCATCCACTGCAACCTCCACAGAGCAGCTATCCACAGATTGGTCTTGGTCAATTTCATCACTTTGAGAGCACACTTCTTCGATTTCAGCTTCAGCTTTAGTAACTATGGTCACAACTTCTACCACTTCTGTTTCCTCAACAGACTCCAATGATTCTTCGATTTGTTCTGTGATTGGCTCTTCAACGTTGTCGTCGGCAACAGTGATTTCTTCTTCAGTGAAAGTTGTGACCTGGGCCTCCACTGGGGGCTCTGGTTCACACACACCATGCGTCTGCGTACGCAAAAGCAATGTGAACAACAAGTAAAACATGCAGCATGCAGCTAGGCTAATTTACATTTAGTAATAATGAGTAAGTGGTACAAAAATGGACAATGGTAATGAATAATGAATGGTGCATGACATCCATTTCAGCTGTTTAGGGATTTTTTTTTTTTCTTTTTTATGTTACCTGTTCAATTTCTGTGATAACTGCAGTTTCTTCAACGACCTTAAAAAAAAAAAATCATAAGGTAAGTTCAGCTCTTATAGAAACACTTCTGAGTAAGCACATTGTGTATTGATTGGTTGTTACTTTAAGCACCAGCAACTTGTAAAGTGGTATGTGTGCAGGTGAGATGTTTATTAGTACACAAAGTACAAATATGTCCATTAAGCTGTGGGCTGTGGCAACTGTGTGCGTTTGTGTGATATGTAGCCCGGAAAGTTTGGAGCAACTGAGTAATGTGTGAGTTTAGGGTTAAAAAACAAGCTACGTAGTTCCAACCTAAAATAGACATTTAGACATGCATTATGTTTTGCCTTAATGTGCATACTGTAAACTATGCAGTTTTATTGTGTCATTATTAACAATTAGCATTCTTTTCAAGTTTTCTAAGTGTTAGAATACCATCTCAGCTCAGTGTGTCACTTATTTTATAAGCTTAAACATAATAAATTGGCATTCACGTGCCAAGTGTTCTCATAAAGTCTCATAAAATGTCTAAATGATTATTTGAAATCATTGCATAATAAACATATTCTTTTCAGATGTTTGGCTTTTGATATTTATGCAAGCTCTCAGTTTGTGCCCTGAAGACATTTAAACTGAATTATGTGTCAGTCCAAGTGTTATGACTTTTGTGCATTAACCCTGTGGCTCTGGGATGAAAGGAGCTGTTGAAAAATGCTGACACGTAGTTTTGTTTTTAACCTGTATCTCAGCAGGAGTGGCCACCGGTACTTCTGCTGCTAGGACCTGTCAAAGAAAGAACACAGGAATGACTTATGAACACAGTTGTCACACAGCATAAGTCAAAACGCTCACTGGTCCAAATGAAGGTCAACTCTAGGGTGTGGTGAACTCTAAAAATGTCCCAAGGAAAGGCTGCTAAAGGTGCACTGTGGAACTTTTCTAGTAAAGGGTCCATCAAATGCATTTCTCCATGGAGATGTTATTGCTTTGTTTGGAATGTTTCACCGTATGGCATTAAAATGGTCAATCTTCAACCCCGCTCACAGTTAGAATGCCTGTTTTTCTAGGTATGTTTCAACTATAAAACCACCTGTAATTTAATAAATATAAAGTAGAGCCATTTAATGTTATGCTGTGGAACATTCCAGGCATATCCATAGAAACAAATTGGTGACAGACCCCAACCAAAAAGTTACATAGTGCACCTTTAAACTAAACTACTAAACTAGCCCTTATTAAATACTATAAAGTACAGTAAAAGTCCAGTAATATACTCATAGATCACTACTGAATATAGTTTGTGTATTATGCAATGTAAAAGCATAGATCTTTATTAAGCATGTGTCTGTAGCTTTGCCTCAGGGAAGTGGGAGGCATAATTTCCATCCAGGAATGTAGCAGCCAATTACAATATAGGACACTGGTACACCCACCTATCATTTTCTAACAGGTTAAGCTTGTGTTATATTATGTCAACTCAAATAGCTGTTTATTCAAAGTATTTTTTCTACTCATGTAAGTTTTTGCAGCCTTGTGTTTATTGGTTCATCAGTCTGGCAACAGAATGTGACAAAGTGCTTTCAGCTAGAATGGCACCGAGCGTTACATAAATATTGCAATACTTGGTGGTGATTTAGTAAATAATTGAACCTGCCTTGTAGCTGCCCATCTTAAATCTAGGACAAACTCAACATTCTTCCAAAAATGTTATATATGCCAACACGTTAAAGCAGAACACCACCTCTCCAAATCTAGCACAACCAGAAATAGAAACCAGCGCTATTCAATCCTAGGGGGATTTAGCCAGAGTTTCAACAAAAGCCATGTGTCGCATATGTCAGTGGGCAAGAGGAAATACTTGATGAATACTTTTTAGTTACAGTATAGACTTGCATAGAGTGTGTAGGGGAGAGATGTATAGGTTTCCCCCTATGCACACACCCCATCAGCCTGTCCCGGCAGCAGTACACAGTGTTCCATAAGTCCCCACATAAGACCACGTGGAGCCAAAGCAAGTTCAATTCTGATATCTTAATGGAAAACTTAAAAGGATGAATTGACCAATGGTGGATCTTAAAGTGATACAGATAAAATATAACCATTACGCAATGTTATAGAATATTGCTTAACACCAGTTTTCATTTCTGCTGATAATGTAACAGACACGTGCTCGGTTTCCATACTGTGCATATGGCAGTGAAACCCATCAGTCTTCCAATCTCATCAGAGAAGGTGTGCATATTTCAAGAAGGTGCAGCTGCAGAAAAAAAACTTTGAAAATGAAGCTTGTCGTGTAGCATTTTAGAGCTGAGTAGTGTTGAAAGTGTTTGTTCTTTGGCAATAGGAAAAGTCAACTCAAGTATTTGCCCTGTGTAAATCTTAACTGTGTGTGATAAAGTTTTGAGATAATTGTAAGAGGGACAATGGACCAAGCCTGAAACAATAAGAAAATCACAATAGAGGATTTGTTGAGAATTTGTCAGTAAATGTGTGATGTATGTGAATTATTAGAACAGATGGTGTTGTAAGAAAAGAAAAGAAAAAACAGTATAGCCCAATAGCTGGTCTTTAGATAACACTAACTGCTTCCTCTGTATCCAGCCCAATGACACCCCACCAGACTAAATTTAACCCCAAAACTGCTCCAAAACCATGATTCCTCCTCCTCTTTTTTCTGTTACGAAAGAGCACAACGTAGTCCAAGCAGAGCACGTGCAGAGGGTGCATGGTGAGGGGTTGACAGAGAGGGAAGGAGAGAAGTGCAGGGACCGAAGGCTGGCTGGTACATAATGTACAGTGAGAGCCACACCTCCCTCCCTGTCCCTTCTGGCCAAACTGCTATCCCATGTCAGAATGGATATGTTGGCCTTGTACTCACCTGCGTCTCTGTGATGACATGCAGGAGAGGAGCACTGGCTACCTCTTCTTTGGGACGGAGCCAACTCAGCACTATCCCCATTTCCAATCTGCTTTATTTTACTTTCTATAATTTTGATAGTAATCGCAGCATTAGTAAAAAAGGATTAATACAAAAACTACTTTAAAAATAGTATCTATGCTATATATAGTGATAAACCTATTACTTTCAATGCACCTGTAATTATTCCCTAGCTAAGTCAATAAATGTGCTTCTATACTCCAATGCTGAAAAGTTTGCACAAAGTGAGAAAAAAGACTGGCACATATAGGAAGATTATAGCAGCAGGGGGTGTGGTGGGAGGAAGAGGAGGAGGAGGAGGGGCACTACAAAGCTCAGTGGGTAGGGCACAACACTTAGGGGTCAAAAAGTTCACTCAGCAAAGAGACTGGACAGTATAGCCTTGAGTGGAGACCTGGCATCCGTCCAATACTGATAAGGATTCCTTTAAAATAAGTCAGGGCACTCAAAATACACATGTACATACAGTGCAGGCATGGCTCAGCTCCTGGGTACAAAGAGCATCAATTTAGGTGTGTACCATGTGGTCGTGTGTTAGACTGTGGGCAGGCCTTGCACAAACAGAACTACATGTATGTCTATGCAGCTTGGGAAAGTGTATGTATGAAATAGAACATATTGTACCCACATCGATGCATGAAGACTTTGAACTCAAATATATGGGATAATAAAGTCTGGGTTTGAGGTAAGAAATATGACAATTATCTGAAAATCTAATTGCAAACATTCACTAATAACTTATAATAACTAATAATAATAATAGAGGAGCTGACAATAAGATTTGACAAACCTAACCAATATACAGTGACACCGACAGTTAAATATATAATTGTATTGTATTATTTGTAATATGTATTGTTTAGCTTTTATGATTGCAGTACATGATGTCTACATAAAAAGTACACAGCTTTACTCCACGTGTATGGAAATCTGTGAGCCATGCATTGGCCAGTCCATAGTGATGTAGCCTATCCCTTTCTCCACCTCTTTCCTAAATAGAACACGCTGTTCCCTGTGCTTCCCACCCCCCCTAAACCCACCTCACCGCCTCTGAGAAGCCAGACACACACACTTTCACTTAGCCTGATCTGAGTGAGCACTAAAGACACAATGACAGCATTTTCATATGTGCTAATAAAATAAGGTTATTGATTTACAGATATGAAAATGAAAAAATGAAATTGGCAATGAATGTTCATCTTATTATTAGATTTTTTTTTTCCTCTAGCACTCGCCAACAGACAGCTTGATGTATTATCAGAAGTACACGTTGCTCTTACCTCATAACGAAAAAACTAAAAGAGAAGATAGAAGATAATGAATGATCCAGTTGTGCTGCAGTTCTAAAATGCACCACTAGATGCCACTACAGAGCATTTTGGTCTAATGTTTATAATGCAATCAAAGCAACAACAAAGGATGAGAAGCTTGCATTGAATTGAATTGGATCATAGCATACACTGATCATACACTGTGTGGGAAGGGCATCTGACACAAAAATCACACAGAAAAGCTTCATGGTTATGTGTCTTGTCGGTGCATGCTCATGAGAACCTCTCCATCTGCCCATGTTCCAAAAATTGCTCCTTACCTCAATTTTTGGTTCTGTTTCAGGAATAATTGGCTCTTCAATTTCCTCCTCTTCTTGGACAACAGCTACGTCAATTGTAGCTGTTTCCACGGGTGATGCATCTATGGTAGGTTCCTCTAGGATTTCAGGTTCCTCTATAGTGATTGGTTCTTCTGTAATGACTGGTTCCTCTATGGTGATTGGTTCCTCTTTGACGATAGGTTCTTCTGTGATGACTGGGGCAGGAACTTCAGGGATCTCCACTTCTACTGGAATCTGCTGTAGGACCACGACCTCTGGTTCTGGTTCTGCTGGTACCTCAACCTTGATTGGGGCCGGCTCTGGTTCAGCTGGTACCTCAATTTCAACTGGGGCTGGCACTGGAACTGGTTTCTCTTTTGGTGGCTCAACTTTTGGTAAAACTTTAGCGACCTCCACAATAGGAACTGCTTCTGGTACGATGGAGACCACTTCTGGGACTTTAGAGACAACTTCAGGGGCTTTTGGAGGAACTGGCTTGGGCTTTTTAGCAGTTTTTTTGGAAACCGTTCCAGGTGCACCTACAGCTAAGGCAGGACTTGCTTTGACTGGCGGAGAGGCTGCATACTGCTCCTCCAGAAGTCTCCTCTGGGCTTGCTACAACGAAAAAAAAAAAAAAAAGTACATAGCAGTTAACAAGAGGTAGACAGCTAATAATGAGAAGCAATACTGTTAGATCTGTAGTTTATTAAAAGTTAAACACTTTATGACAGTGTAGAAATGAATCTAGTCCGTATTAATAGTTGTGTTATTATTTTATTTTACCTTATTCTTTTTCTATAGTCAAGTGAAAAAATATATTTCCAACTTATTATCTTGAACAATAATGATGTTGGCTCCTTTCCAATAGTTTTACTCTTGTTGAGCGCAATTTAAGGAAATTATCTATATGGCCCATAATTTATGAATTTACCGTCTATACTTACGTGGTGAGATAACTTACACTTATTGATCCACAAGTGAAATTGCTTACATACAGTAACGCACAAACAGCATAACAAATAGGAAAAAGAATGGTAATATGTTGCTCATAGATTTGTGTGTATAGAAATACCGCGGATGCCAACACAGTCAGGTTCAACATGTTTTTCAACTGGGGACAAAAACCCGGAGGGCTTACATGAGCTTTTAGGAACGCCGCACCACGATGCAGAGGGGGCTTCAGCGCTGGGACCATACCAAAAGCCTGGCCAATAGCTAGTTTAGATAAAGGATTCTAATTAGTTGGATCAGAGCTGTCCTGACAGGTCTGGCCAAGCGGGAACAGAAATTGCAGGAGTCAGCAGCACCCATGGGAGATGCTATGGGTCCAACATGTGGCCTAATAGCATTATTATCAACTTATAATGAGGATACTATCACATTTTCAAGAGTTTTTATCCATGGCTCTGAAACTTGGGTTTTAAGTTTATAGTCAAAACATTTAGTAAAATAAATATGGTCCCCTCCTGTGCAACTGCCAGACAGTTTTCTCTCCTTCTTCATGGGATACCTCTCTGTGTTGATGGCTTAATGATAACACGTGTTGATGTGTAAGTGATTATCCAAGTGGACTAGAGGAGCCATTTTTAACTGACATCCTGCAAAGCATTCCTCACAGTGTACTCATTGCCATATACAGCTGTCTGGTGATGAGAGGCAGGACTGCTACTACAGGGAGAGGGAGGGATCTCAAAGCAAAGTAAACTCTCTGAACTTCACAGGCAACATAATGAATTATTAAAGTGCATCCACATATTAGACGCAGCCTATTGATTGCAGTGAAAGTGCTTGATGATGATGTAAGTTTGTGAAAATGGAGACTCCGTGTTGTACTTGCCATTATACCAACCCAACCTCTCTCTCCGTTTCGCCACACCCACTTCGCTCTGGCACTCAATGTTCAGAAGTCAGGTTTTTTCAAGTGTCTATGTGCTGCTGAGAATTAACCACGTGTCACTTTGCACATCTTTGTTAATTTGTTAGCCCGTTTTAGAGCTTTTGCATATTGGTTCAACAATTTATGTGCGCGTACGGCGCGCACTTTCCCAAAAGCATCTCTATAAAGCCTTTCATTTATGCATTTTCTTTTAACACCAGGATTCACATGAAAAAAGAAGAGATAAGATAAGACATTGCCAGATTTTTAGCTAAAATGTTTATTTTGCTTTGTTTTTCCTTACATCCGACTTACCGTTTTCTCTTTATTTAGGGTACTTTTTTTTATATATCAGTTTACGCATCACGCATAGATGAATAGGTTAAAAGAGCGCAACAAAAATGGCAAAGACTGGCTAAATTGATTCAGATTGATTGATTTTGGGGTTAGAATTATGGTCATACTTGATTCGTCATGGTAAAATATTGCAAAAAATATATACAAATTCATTAAAAGCCAAATACATCTTATTATTCAATTAAGATGAGAATGGCACTTACCACCCTGCGCATGCGGCGCTTGTTCTTCTTTCTCTTGCTGGGCATGTTGCTTTTGAGCTGTGATGGGCACCAGAAAGTGAAGCTGACAACAAGAAAGAGGAGCGAGGAGCGTGAGAGCACCGTGGATCTTTATAAAGCCCACGTACGCGCCGTTACCTTTGCGTCGAACCTATGGCAGCTCCGAGAATCAAATGTAGGGGGCGTGGTGACTCGCACACCCCCCTGCAAACACACTCATGCACGTGCACACACAAGAGAGGAAAAACGTATGTTAGTGTGGGCATGGTGGGATGTGTACGATTATGTAAGCACTCCACCAAAGTCTTAAAAGCTTCTCATTCATAACATAACAAACAATTCCATTTGCGCAAACAAAAGACAGTGGCAGTCTGTATCAGATCTACTTTATATTCACGGGAACACAATAGTTTATTTATCGTGCGTCCACATGAGAGAATCCAGAGACAGAAAGCATGCACATATGTAATCCTCACTGCCCCCGTACTCTACCACTGTTCTGAGTAGCTTTTGTTCTCTCACTCACGTACAGTTACAATGTCCCAGAGCATAAATTCAAACTTTGTTCTTACATCAAATGGACTGGCTTCATGAATTATCAGGGTGTAGAAGTTTGCTCTGTATAAAACGAGTTGGCACGTGGTATTCTTGGCTGTACTTGATTTAGTCTAGAACATGTGTGGCTACAGATGGATTACATGCAACCAGACATATCAGCCGCATGTTCATGTGAAACTGGGTAACCTTTCTTATGGACACTGGACCACTGAGATCATTGACACTGGTTTTGAGCTTGTATAGAAGAAGAAGAACACAACTTTGGATGTAAAACAAATAAAAAGCTATTTGCAACATGGATTTATATGAGTATTGCAGTATTAAATTGATGGGCTTATGTAGCATATCGTGGACCACTGTTAAATGTAACAGCATTAAGGAAGAATAGAGTTTTCATGTGCTGAGTACTTTTAAGTTACTTACAAATATATTTTGTTGATGACCAAAACGTACAATTTAAAAAGCTGGATGAAGTTGACTACAGAGTGCACTAAAGCCTTGGCTAATAGTTAGTAGCTTGTGCAAAGTAGTCTCTTGTCAAACATGAGCACACATCACACAGTCAACATTGTTCTAAGTTTAGGCAGTACAGATATTGGAGCAAAAAAAAAAAAAAAAAAAAGTAAATAATAAAAGTATCACATGAAAAAATCTACTCAAAGGTGCACTGCATAACTTTTTCTGGTAGATGGTCTGTCACATGCTTGTCTCCATGATGTTATTGCTTTGTCTAGAATGTTCCATGGTATGACATTAAACACATATATCTAGCATTTATTCATTACAGGTGTTTCTACTGGTCAAAAATATAGTAATTCTCTCTCTGAATAGGGCTGCCAATCCACAGACCTGACCTGTAACGTAGCCTCGTCTCCCTTGAGATAGATAGGTTTAATCACTATAGAGTACATTCTAGATAAGGCAGTATTCATTTCCATGAATACAAGCAGGTGACGGACTCTCCACCAGAAAAGTTGTGCAATGCACCTTAAAGTTAAAGTATTAAAGTACCTTTTTTTAAAAGTGCAGAATTTTGATCAACAAAAACAATGGAATTTATATTTTTTTCCTAGTTGTTTTTATTTGTATATTTTTGTTTTCTCAAACTACTAATGTGTTAAAATAATGCCTAGGGCCTTTTCAGCACATTTCAAACTATAACAAAACATACTGTACTTTTACTTTTCATTCAAAAATCTAGTGGAGTAGAAGGTAAAAAATATGCACTTTAAAATGTATGTAAGTAAACTAGAGATACTCAAGATTTTTACTTAAATAAAGTACTTTGCTACTTTAATTTCATTATGGTCTACCACTGGCCTCCACAAACAGTTTGTAGCTCATTTGTCAAAGTAATTACTTGTCAAACATCATTGTTCTTAGTTTAGGATGATTCAGTTCAATAAGTTTAAAGGCACAGCTCTATCAGACTGTAGCTATAGTTTGGTCATCTGGTCAGAGCATGTTTACCTGTGTCCACACACCACTGGAATGTAGCTCGTCATCAGCCGCCATAGAAGGATCACACACATACTTGTCTATAGGGCATAATGGACTGACCGCAAGATGACCTTCACTTACAATTTAAAGGGTCCATATTACACTGTTTTCTGATCTATGTTGTTTCCTCATCAAAAACATCCCCAGGAGTTGTGTTTTGTTCCATTCACACATGTTTAATACACAAACCCTGCAAATTTAGGCTGTGTTCTTTTCTCACACTGAAAACCCTCTCTTCTACTTTATGATGTCATCTGTTGATACAGGAAGTACCCGGTGTTTTAAAACTCCATACACCTTCACTAAAATAATTTGGATAAGGAGCATTTTGATCTTTGGAGATAATAATAATCCAGGATTACTCAAACATGTGTGAGCGAAACAAAATACAACTCAGGGTATTTTTGATGAGTTTTATGACATGGCTTAAAGCTCACAAGAATACATTTTGCATAATATAAGACCTTATGGACATGTTTGAAAAGTTTTTATAACAATAAATAATACATCATATTCAACACTATAAGCTATTCTTACCACCATGTTAATTTACTAAATTATTAGGAGCCGAATACATTTAATGTTCACGTATTTCAGGGTAAGTGATTTAAACACAAACAAATACATAGACCAGGACTAAACTAGTCCTAGTTTTGTTTACATCAGGTCTAAACTGGGTTCAAAGTGTGAATGTACCCTTAGGCATCTGCTTTAGGTCATACCTTACATTCTAAAAAGGAGCAACAAAAATAAACAGCTTTCTAAAGAAAATACTGTAGGCTGCATAGTAACACAATTGAGATCATCATAAGAGACTATAATTTTCTTATACTATTGTGGGTGCATTTTCTACCTCAAAACTGTGACTAAATCAGGACTAGACTAAGACCAAATCAAGTCTACAAAATAAAATGGACACAAACCAGGAACACACCCTTAATAAATGGCTGCAAAGAGGACTTCAGATTCTGCTTCCTTGCAGTGATAAGACCCAGAGAAACTCTCCATCGACCAAAATATACCATTATCTATTGCCCACTGATATGAGCACAGATACAGAACACAGGAGCTGTGGGCTAAGCCTCACACAGCTGCCAACTGAGTAAGCAAGTTTGCAGAGACTAATTGTAGTAGTAAAACAGTAAATAGAAATCAGTAATATCTATGATGTGTCTTAACGGGCTGCATTTACTTTCGCAGACATCAGTGTAGAAGTAATTATGGTTTATTACAATTTCACTTTATTACTTATGGTAATGCACCATAAATGCACATTGTCTTTTCACAAGTACTATTCTAAGGTCAAAATTAGATTGCGAAAATATAAAAAGTTAGTAAATGTTACATACTTAATAGTTCTAATTGAAATAAAACACAACATAATCAGTAAAGAATAATCAATAAATATATTATCACATACTGCATTTAAAAATAACTTTCACATAGAATCATCATTGACAGGGATAAAGGATAAGGTGCCGCAAAGGTGGCCACATGGTGGCACCATTGCGTCTGTAAACACAACTGAGTTGTTCTAGTTTCAGTGATGTTTTGAAAATGTGTTATGAATATGATGGGCAGATAAGCACACTGGCGTGAGTCATGAGTGTCACATTAGAAGAGGAATAAATCCTTTTGTGGATCTTAAGTGTTTTACTGACACTGTGACTTCTGGGAATGTGGTCTCATGATGCGTTTAAACTGGAGTATACACAGAGCGCTCACCATAAAAAACACAGACACAATAAAAGGTAGAAAACATGTGCAGTTCAGTAATGGGACTGGCCTGTGACAGACAGGGCTCTTAGGGCTGGGACTGGCCATGTGCTTGGTCCACTGTTGCTGGGGCGGGGGGCATAGGATACATTGGCACACTGTACTCTGTGTACGCAGGGGGGAGGTCATCCGGTTTAAAACCCAACTGTAACATACACAGAAAAGGTGATCACGTTATGACAATGTTTGGGCAGCATAATTTCAGAAGGTGAAAATTTGATTTGTGTTCAATAAAAATTTTAATTAAATATTGTGAAAATAAAAAATAAATATAAACCCAATGTTATTACTGATTGGCGGACAAACACTAATTCAATACCTGTGGATATTATCATCACAAAGCCTCACTTAGCAACCATACTGAGTGCCCCTCACCTCGTTGTACGCTGGAGGGGGCTCACAGAAGGCCCCGTTGGTGTACTGTGGGGGGAAGTCCTGGCTGTGGCGGTGGACCATGTCCTCACTCTCCTGGGATAGACTTCTGGGGAAGGGGATCACAAAGATGGAGGGTGGTCTTCCATCGTGCTCAGTTCGTCTCCAGGCCTCCCTCTCAATCTGCTCCTCTCTCAGACGACTGCAGGCGCGACAGAACGTGGTGCAGAACATGATGGTCAGACCAAAGCCCAGCACGGCCATGAAGATCCTGGGTCACATCACAAACACACATTGTTACTCTAGGCTATTTTGACATGTTTAAAAAGAAATATTACAAAATAATCTTACTCTAATGCAGGGAGATCCATCAACCGTCTTAGTAGTTTTAAGGAATAAACTCTTTGAATGTACTATTAGAGGCCAAAGCTAAACAATATAAAACGAATGTTAGAAGAATGGTCCAAACACAGTATCATAAACTAAATGAAAAAGGATAATTTTGTACCTTGTTGTTATTGTGTGAAGTGATCTTTAGTCATTTTCAAAACTACTAATAACATCATAAAATAAACCTCAATTTGTGGTAATTGGCATGACAATATGACTCTTTGTCTTGCTGTAATATTATGAATTGAATCCTATTTGTAAAGCACATTAAGTTACCTTGTGTATGAAATGCACGGTATAAGTAATAATGACTTGTCTTTCCATTCTTAAATTTACAACAACAGTGATTTAGGTGAATGTGGCTGTTACCCAACTAGGTCAATTCGTTTCTTAGAAGACACATATTTCACAGTGGTTCAAACATAAGAGACTGTATTATATTAGTCAAATGTAAATTACAATACTATACAACTTAAGTAACCTTTGCTGTTTGTAGTAGTTGTGGTATTTATAAAACAATGAGCAGTACTAACACCTAGTACAATATAACTTGTAGATTAAAACTACATTTGACAAGATCAATGTAAAAGAAACAGTCACTTGATTTAGTATAATCTTTTGAGAACAAACATGAACTGAAAGAGGACATAGATAGGTCTGAAATCACCTTTGAACCAATCAGTTATGTCCGAAGCACAGTCAGTAAATACGCACTGAACAAATAAAAAAGAGCCTATAATATGTAATACCCGACATTCAGCCAGATAAAAGGTTAACGAAAACTACTTGAAATAATGGTAAAAATGACAAATCAGGCACCTACCTTACCAAACTCCAGTAGGCCTCGTGTATGAGTTGGACCAGTATGATGTCAATGGAGCAGAGGGCAGGTCCACAGTGGGCGTGCTGCTTACGGGATAGCCTATATAGAGTGCAATAAAGACCAAGACAGCTACAGTACTACACAAATTATATACATGCTAACAACTGTATTTAATTTTTAATAGATATTACTCAACGAAAGGTAACTTGAAAAATACTTAAATATATATATATAAAACTGGAAAAAAAACTGTTAGTTCATATCAAAGCTGTGACAGAGTTTTATTAGTTTGTGCTCAAGGTTCAGAGGAAGAATTTATGGCCACCAGTACGTTGTAAAGAAACAGGTCCCTCCTTCAGGACTGAATCAGGAGATAATTTCACTTAAACAACAGCAGGGCGGTGAGAGTTTAACAAAGATTACTCACAAGTGCATTGAGAACACTGAAATCATTAAGTACTGTATTGATCTCTAGTTTTACTATTGTGAATGAAAATGGGCCTAGTAATGCTACAATGTACTATTAATAATGTTTTAAGTTGGATAGTTGTATACTTTAAAAATACTCTTAGATAAAAGGAAAACTATGTAAAGTATTAAATAATTAAAACAAGACAGGTTTGTTGGAATCACTGACACATTTTATTTACTCCAAAAAACATTAAAAATAGGAACGTCACTCAGTGCAAAGAAGAAAATCCATTCCAACCTCTTTTTACTTAAAACAAACCTACCCACCAGAAGGAGTTATCTATAGTTCTGCCCACTTTTAGGTTGAAATCTTATGTGGTTGGGTTTTAAACAATATGAATCACTTTATTGTTGTTTTTAGTGCAAATTTAACCTAAACATTTCCTCTGTACATCCTTTAGAATATATACAATGCACTACAAAATATTAAAAGTTTCTAATTGCAAGCTTGACATTCTGCTCTATTACAAGTCCTCATGTACCAGTTTTGCAGAGCGCTTGTTGAGCCAGTGCTGTAGCAGAGGCAGGTGAGTGTCCATCCAGCGAATATTATCCTCAATAGTCTCATAGGCCTGCTGGATACATCTCATCTCTGATCCAGTCTCCTCAGTCAGAGAGTCAAAGAAGCTGCGCACCTGAACGCAAAGAGAGGAGCAGGCAAGATTAACTAACTATCCATGGGTTTACGAATGATAAAACATGAGGGCTGTTGTCATAGCAATCAACAATTTAAGTCACATATCGCTGTTATATGCCACATATAACAGGAAGCTGAAAGCCATGAACAATGGGTCCAAGTTCTAACTAAACTACTGTGTAACTGAATTTGGCCCTTGGGTTAAAGCGACATTACACAAACTTTCTCTTATAAATTAGTTTATTGTGTTTCCTCTCATAAAGTGTACTGTAAAATGAGTACTTTGTGGAAAAAAAACAGACTTCCGTATGCTACCTGCATCTCACTATAAAACATTTTATCAATCTCAAACTTCCCGAAATACGACAGCAATTCTAAACTTTTTTTTTAAGTCGAGACCTCCGTTATAACAACCGCTGACCCCAAAACAAAAAAAGGAGGCTACTCACAAATGATAAAATAATGTTATGTCTAATATATGATTTTATTTTCATGACACAGGCCTAGATACATCTATTTGTAGGTCAGCAAACAGGAATTTACATTTGAAGAGAGTACCTTGTCTCATAAAGTTTTATTTATTGTTTTATCCCCATATTACTGCTATATGGGATGAGAGCTGATTGGCTGTGGGATGTTGGTCCACCCTGCTATACTTTCCTATCTGAAAAAGCTGTTATTAAGCGGTTATATGAGCAATTATACGGTGATACAGAGTGAGAGCTATGAACAAGAACTTCAACTTCTTCCTTTCACAATATGAACATCAGTTACCCAGCTTTAACAGTAAAATACAGCACTCACTCACCTCGTCAAGCTTCTCTCTGGTGGAGTACTGGTTAGTCACTCCGTTCACCATAAAGGACACAGTGTTGGACCCGAGGTCAAATCTACACAGAATAAAAGAAAAACAAACATCGGACTTATACAAGATACATCATTCTCAACAAGCATCTTCTCATTTTATCAGTGCAATGATGGCAATTGAGATTTTAGACTAACTTCTTGATAAGTGTGTGCCAATTGGCCCGGAGGAAGTCCCAGGCAAGTTTGTAGCCAAGAGGATTTCTGCCAATCGATACCAAAACATCTGGGAGGTCCTGAGTCTTCATCACATCCCCATTAAGGCTCTGCTCCAGCATCCTGAAAATGCATGCATACAATTGAAGCACTACTTTGTTACTCAAGTTAGACTTAATCTGAGCTTTATTTTAACACGATCTGACCAGAAAGAGATAATTTTTACTGTTAAACTGTTAAGTCTCACACATAAAATAACAGTCGCAAAGTAGCCAGCATTAGCCAACAGTTTTTCAGTTAGTCACTCTCATCTAAACAGGAAACATGAAAACACATATTGATCAAGGCTCCTGAAAATGTGTTGTTTAATTGCATTTTGTGAGTTTTCAGCCAATCTTAACACTTTTTTGTCAGTGTTTGCTAATGTGTGTATTGTGTCGCTGCTTACATGTGCAACTTAATCACACGCACCATATGAGTTTGTCCTGCAGGGGGCTAATAGCCATGGCAGTTTTCATTCGGCTCTTGAAGGACATTTGCATTGATTGACGATATTTTTCAAACAGAAAATCCCATCCCTCTGGTGTTCGGGCCCCAATCACAAATACAGCCATCGTGACATCAACTGGGAGACTGAAAAAAAAGTCAAATTAGTCCTCACAGTGCCACACAGTGGTAATTACTTTTGTAAATAATTAAAGAGTTCATTTCCAAAAACAGATATTTGAAAAAAGAAAAAGAAAAAAAGAAATGAAGTCACTTATCTAGCAGTGTTGTCAAAAGCCAAATCTATTTCAATGCAATGCAAATATTATTCAAAATTATGTCAACTATACTGTTATTAAATCATATTTGTAGATGATGGTATCACCAAGAAAGACACAAGACATGTTAAATGTCCTACATTACGCAAAATTGACTCTTGTAACAATATTATAATGCTGTCACCTCATCAAAAACATATCTGGAGTTGTCATTTGTTTCATTTACACATGTTTGAGTAATCTTGTGTTATTAGTCTGCTTGCATCTCCAAAGCTCAAAATCCTCTGTTCCACCTTGTGATGTCATGAAGCAGTTGTTTTCAAGTTAACAGCTACCTTTTATCTTTTGAATGAAAAAGATTCCAGCTTGGAAATTATTCAAATGATTTCAGTGAAAGTGTAACACTTGCTGTATTACCATATGACATCACTAAGTGGAACAGAGTGTTTTCAGTTTGACAGAAGAACTCTATGCAGGGTTTGTTTGTGAAAAATGTGTGAATGAAACAAAACACAATTCCAGGTATGTTTGTGATGAAGAAACAACATTATAACATAGATCAGAAAAGTGTAATTTGGGTCCTTTAAAAAACAAAATATCTGTTTTGAACTCTTCAATTGTATTTAAATAATCAACACCTCATTGTTCCATCCGATTCCTTCCATCTGTTGAAAAGCTGAGTGGCCTTCTCTACACAGGGAAGGTAGTTTCTGACACAGGCAAATAGCAGCAGATAGCTCCGGAGCATGCGCTGGGTCACGGACCCAGAGTCGGTCCACTCCTGACGGTCAATCAGCCCCCGGAATAGCTCCACTATGTAGTCCTGAGGAAGAGTTAGAGTCAGTTAAAAATACATGTCACTGCAAGAGAAAATCACACTTTTTAAAGGGCCCATATTACACTATTGTCTAATCTATGTCACAGTGTAGTTTAGTTTCCTCATCAAAAACATACCTGCAGTTGTGTTTTGTTTCATTCACACGTTCAACACTAACCCTGTACATTTAGGCTGAATTCTTCTCTCAAACAGAAAACACTCAACACATGTGGTAATACAGGAAGTGCTCTACTGTGCTTCTAAACTCCATACACATTTACTAGAATCATTTAGATCATTTCAGCCCTGGATTTGCCAGTGTCTACTGAACAAAAGGTAAAAGGTAGCTGTTAACTTGAAAACTATTACTTATTGAGCTTTGGAGATGTAGGCAGACTAATAACAGAGTTACTCAAATATATGTGAACAAAACACAACTCTAGATATGTTTTTGATGAAGTAACAACATTATAATATGGTTTAAAGCTCACAAGAGTGAATTTTGTGTAATATAGGACCTTTAACACATACTGTGGTTCATATAGTCACCCCTACTGTGTATTAGAGGCAATGTCAAAACCTTTTCTAGCATACTGTAGCTGCATTCATAAAATTGCTTTTGGACACTTGCCAGATGAGTGCACAGATACAGTAGATGTAGCTTGTAACTTTGATAGGATGGGAGAGTTAACAATGCAAGGAACTAAGTAAATCATTTGTAGCACAATTGTTGTGACAATGAACTTTCCTTTACACATTTGGCTTCCAAGCTTTTCCAGATGCTACAATATTTTTATGCACCTTCATCTGGTTTTCAAGAACTGGCATGTCTCGCTTCTCCATCAGTTTGTAGAGAGGTACAAGTTCTCCAAGTCCCTGTGTCACTGCCATAATCTCAGTCTCTTTGGACAGGTACAGGGACAGCTCCAGAGCCTGGTCCAGTTTCACCTTCCCAATACTGAAGATTCACAACAGAGTGCAGAGGATAATAATAGCATGGATTACCACCACTATAAGAAATATATAGAGGATCATAAATTTACCTAACAAGCTGGAAAATGTTTTGAATGAGGCTTGCGCGGTCGTTGCTGCTCAGGGCTGTGTGATTGTACCGGAGCAGTTTAATAATGGAGTCCCAGCCGTCACCAGCGTAGTGCACCATATAATATCCATTCATGTCCACATTGAACTTGACCCAGCTGACTTCCTCAGGCAGGTACAGAACATCTGCAATGTATAGGTTAAGGTATGAAGAACAGAGCAACTGAATGCACCAGAAAAAAAAAAAAATAATAAAAATGACTAATAACTTTAAACTGAGAGACTTGCCAGTTTTAGTCTTCAACAGGAAGCGGTGGATGGTGTTTGATGCACTGGTTTTGTAGGTCAAGGGGATTTGCCATAGAAATCTGTAAACAAGTCATAAACCTTGATAAAAATATATATTTCAAAAGAACAACAGGCTAGTAATGTTTAGGTCTGAACCATATCACAAATCTAAGGCTCTACAATGTTTAATACGTTACATGTTCTAACTATAACACAAATGCAATTTAGTTTCAGTCCAAAAATACAATCCAACATCTTACCCTTCTGTGAGTGAGGGGTCATTGGTTTTCAGGTAACGCTCTTGACTGAGCCTAACCTCCTGACCTTTGACCTCCACAGTGACCAGAGGAAAGCCCTCCTGCAGCGTCCATGTGTTCATGATGGCCCGAACATCCAGCTCATCACCTGAGTACCATTTCTACATGAAAAACACAGACATATAGTATTAGAAAGACCATGAATGTAGCATTTGTAGGTAAATATTTCAATACAGTGGCTTTGTGGACTTACTGAGGCTCCAGACTGAAGTTTGCTCTTTGAACAGAACTCCTTGTGTCTCGTTTGTCTCAGATCTAAAACATCTGAGTTGCAGATCTTTTAAGAAACATAAAATAAAATAATACAATTAAAATCAAACCTTTTCATTTCATGGACTATAGAGGCACATACTTACGTCAGTGAGACTTTCCCATAAATCACTGTTGACTGTGTTTTGGTAACTGTATTTCTTTAAGTATCTAATGATGCCGATCTCAAAGGCTTCAGGAGAAAGGAAGTCTTGCAGCATATTGAGAATGCATGCCCCCTACACCACAACAAAACAAATCTGTTTAACCACACCAAATCCAGTTATATATACATCGTTCTTTGACAACTTTAACCACTACTTAGTACCTTATCATAGGAAACATCATCAAACATCTCCTGGATCTGTGTGGGGTTTTCCACTGGAGTAGACACAGGGTGGGATGAGCTCAGAGAGTCCACCTCCATTGCCTCAAAACACTTTCCCAAGAAGAAATCATCCTAAGACAAAGAAATATTAAAGCTCACAAGAACCTTTAAATACAACTAAAATTTTTAATAAAGATTACTCTTACCACTTGTAGCTCAGGGTAGGTGATGTCCACTGAGATATACTCCATGAATTTAGCAAAGCCCTCATTAAGCCACAAATCATTCCACCACTCCATAGTCACCAAGTTCCCAAACCACTGGTCACAGAGAAACAACATCATAATCAATGAATCAAATATTTTTTAACACAACATATTATGAGTTATTTACATCATATTTTAAGCAGTATCAATACTATTTTAAAGGAGTTCAAAAAGTTTAAGTATCAATTAGTATCTGAGAACACATTTTAATCACCCTGTTTTGGAATGTATTATTTTAAAAGCAAAACCACGTATTTTATTCATGTGTCAAATTTTTAAACACAATATACTGCTACAAAGAAATATGACAAAAAAAACAACAATACTGAAACTACTTTATGCCTCTGACACAGTAACAATACAACAGGATAATCCCAGTAAACCATTATTTAAATAGACAGTCTCATCTGAAGGCCTGAGCTGCAATAGCCCATTAGCAGAATAAATTGATAATAATAATTAGCCATAGAAGTCACTTATTTAACCCTCTACAGCTCAAATCTTTTTGTTTTACAAATATTACAAAAAGCTCCCCATTATTGCAAAGATGAATGAAAACACAATAAAAACTGAGCCCAAAAATATATCGTTCCAGCTTCCATATATTGAATGATAAGTCGATATAGTAATTATTGTGACAGGCATAAAGTCAGACACCATAAAACACAGTGAAGGTACCTGATGGGCCAGTTCATGTGCGATCACTTTGGTAATGCCCAGTTTATCTGAAGCCGATGACTTCTCTGGGTCAAACAACAGGGCTGTCTCTCTGTACGTGGTCAGGCCCCAGTTCTCCATGGCACCGGACTGGAAGTCAGGGATAGCAGCCAGATCTGAGAAAAATGTGTGAATAAAATAAAATTTTTGGAGAAAAAATAAAAATAAGAAATATTTTGTTCAGAAGTCAAATCATTATTATTAGAAAAAAATATTTATATATAGCCAGAAATAGCTGTTGGACTATTAGCCTGATGAATAGGTTTGTTAGAAAAAAAACAAAACTGCTTAATATTGTATTAAAATAACACAGTACTGACCCTGTTTTGGCAGTGGGTAAGGAATGTCAAAATAGTCATCATAAAAGTCCAGAAGTTTGACAGCAGCATTCAGTGCAAAAGCCGTCTGGTCAATCTTCTCAGGCACAGCATAGACTGAAATCTAAAATACAATACAATAAATAAAATACTATACAAACAGAGAAAACTATAATATTCTTCAAAATAATATAAGATTGGAGCTTATTAATTACCTTGACACCATGTTGAGTGGTGCGGCTCACAGACAGGAAGTCACACACGATGTAAGCTACGAGGTATGTGCTCATTTTCACTGTGGTGTCAAAGTGATCCTCAAGCAAACCTCCAGCCAACTCCACTGTTTTCACCTGCATATAACATAAAAAAAAGAATGAATTATTGCTAGATATGCCTCTAATTACACATAACTTCTATAGTGTTTTACTGTATATCGCTTATTTACCTTGGGCATGTTGGATACCGCTATGTGGCGTGGCTCCCGGACAATTTGAATAGTAAAATTGGCTTTGAAGGCAGGCTCGTCAAAACATGGAAATGCTCCTCTGGCAAAAGTGGCTTCAAATTGTGTTGATGCCAGAACTCTGGAAATATCAAGACATACTGTAAAACATAAGTTGTTAAATGGAAATACATGTTTAATTGTTTATTGATAATAGGTTTGAGAGATATTCACTAAAATCATGATATGTAGACTTTAGGTTGTTTTAGTTTTTTCTTATTCTGCCATTAAGAATAAGAATGCCTGAGAGAGTTGCAGCAGGTCACAGTAGCTTCTAGAGTTGTCTATAGCACAGATATAGATATACTGTACTATGTATTAGTATATTTCTATAATGTATTTTACTTACATATGCATTTGTATAATTTTACCTTATTTGACAACACGTCCTTGCTATTTTTGCTACTTATTTTGAATTAATTATTATCTGTTTTGTGTGAGCTATTGTGCCCAAATAATTTCCCTAGTGGATCAGTAGTTTGTCTAAGTATGAATCTAATTAACCAGAAAAGTATATGTTAAAGTTTTGGTTGGTTATCTGTAAAATTAAGCACATAATTATGATACCATTGTTAAGATCTTGTTAAAAAAAAAAAAAAAGTTGGTCTAACTGGTATTCATTTCTTACCTGACCTCCCCACTGCTTGTTTTATAGCTGCCCTTGTAGAACCCATGAAAGCTGTCGGACAGATTAGCCGCAAACTCAAGATGAACTTCATACTTTCTACCTTTGGTCAAAACTGTGTCAGAAACGAGGGCCAGCTGGTGGAATCGAGGATACTCTAAAACATCCAGAGGCTTAACACCATTGGGGCCTATTAGAAACACATTGGACACCTGCATCTGCTTGGCATGTAACACTATTGTATCAGTATTTTCACGGACATCTAGCTGGATACGGACCACCCCAGTGAAGTCTAAAGTGGTCAGGTTGGGGTGGATACTCAGATCATAATGGATAGGTAAGACGGATGTGGGAAGTCTCATGGTAGTCCAGGGAAACGGCCGGCCATTGGTTGCAATAGGGGCATCCTTAGAAGCTCCTTGGTCTGGAAGTTGTGCTCCAAATGAAAGAGAAAGAGAAAGAGATACCAGCAACAGGACAGTAGTGGCCCACATGGTGTCAACAGGTAACATCCCCACCTGCTAAAAGAACAAAAAACATACTTGTTACATCGAAAGATTAAATAAAACAGACAAACTGAGTATTAGACACATAAAATCAGCCGTATAGATGCAGGTTTACTATCACAAAATGTAGGGTATTTCCGCAATAACGCACTTTCGATTTCATCTGAAGTCGAAAGAAGTTAAAGTAGACAAATCACTAAAATTGTCATTCAGAAGTTGTGAACAATATGGCTAAACTAGGATTAGCCTTGTGATCAGATAGTAAGTTTATAGTTACTATTTGAAATTAACTTACCATGTCACTGCAGGTTCAGAGGTACGAGCACAAAAGCAACACTGAAAGTGAAACAAGCCGAAAGAGATGCATTGTGGGAGGGAAAGCCAACTGTCACATCATCAGAGCCAAACTTGGATCTATTAAAATCATCGTTGCATATGCTACTCGAAATACGGAGCACGCAACAATCCAGGTACAGTGTTTGCGTGAAGAGCTAGTACGGACTGGAGCTAAAATGCATGACTCCAATTGCTTACGCATAGTTTTTATAGCTGTTATGTACGATAAAATAGCTAACAACATGAGAAAACAAAAGGTTAATACTTAATCACAGACTGTGCAGCAGACTAGGTAAAAACGGCATGCGCAAGGAAGGAGAAATACAGTGTAGATATCAGGAAGTGAGGCTTTGAGTCCGAGCTATTCAAATTATGACCGCAAGATGGAGCTATTGTTTTTTTTTTTGTTTTTTGTTTTTTTTTTTTTTTAGTCAGCTTCTTCAGATAAAAACTGCAACAGTAACACTACATGTTATAGATTAGATTGTATAATTGATCCATGCACGAGAATGATTATTGTATTACTTACTTGCCAACAAAATATTAGAGTTTTGTAACAAGTGCACTGTGTAACTTTTCTGACTGAAAGTCTGCCACCTACTTGACTCCATATAGATGTTTTCCTGTAATTTTCTACATAACAATTTAACTTTTCCACGACAACAAACTAGGCCACATCACCAGGCCAAGTTATGAGTCATCTGTGGGGATGTGGGGCCACTCACAGTAATAATATGAGTTTTTGTTGTAGTTTTGAGAAATAATTCTCTTGTAATAGAATAAATACAAGATAGATTAGTTTAATGCCAGGCTGAGGAACATCCCAGGCAAAACAATAACATCACCATGAGACAATCAGATGGCAGACCCTATCAGAAAAGTTACACAGTGCACCTTTAAATTGTTCCAACTAACCCTAAACCTAAAGGTTAAAATGAATCATCTTCAACTTCAAGGACTTTTTTCCTGATAAACCTCAGTTACAGCGAGGATACATGTTTTTCAATTTTTTAATTTAGCAATAGGCAGGAGAGACACCCACTGTCCTGCTGTGGAAAATTCCAGGCAAAGCAATAACAAGCAGGTGGCACACAACCCACCAGAAGTTACATAGAGCATCTTTAAATGTATACATTTGTGTAAAACTCTCATGGGAATAAAGTGGCACCACCCGCACACATCCCTCAAGGTAAAAGTCCATTTCAACTGCAACAATTAATAAGTAAACTTTACAATGGTGCCTCACTGGAGTCAGTGCATCCACCTTTCCTGCTGACACTAAGTTTGTGGCAACATTTGACCTCAGACCTGAAAATGCTCAAGACACTGTTAATAGGGTTCGGGTGCTGTGCTTGTGTCCTGACCATAGGCATCCTCATCGGACACTATGGGATCACCAAACCCGGGAGCCCTGCACCGTCCTGGGCTAATGACGTGGTCAGAGATGTGGATGAGAACTTCATCACTACCTTCCTGTCTGAGGTGGACAGTAAAGAAATTGAGCAGAATTTACGGTAAACCAAGTATACTCAAAGTCTGCTTGTAGACTATAATATTTACCATAAACATGTCTGTCTTTTTTTGTCTTTGTTGAAAGGATGGGAGATTTGACTATTTATTTACTTATTTTTTACTGATTTTGATAGGGGACATTGTTCAATTCCATTCCAATTCCAATTTCATTTTGACTATATCCACCCACATGCTTTTACTGACAAGACTGGCTGTAAACCTCTTGAAAGATTAGAACTAGATTAAAAAGACTGGAAAATATTATCTCAATATAAATTTGATTAATAGTACAGCCCTGATTTGTTATTTTATTTTTTTTTATAAAAAGAAAAAAAAGTGTTATGAAAGAAAAAGTGAACATTGCATTTCAACTATAATTTCCCGCTTGTCCATCAGGGAGCTGACCAAAGTGCCTCACCTGGCCACTACAGAGGGAGACGAGCAGACAGTGCAGTTAATGCTGAAGAGATGGCAGGACCCAGAGACAGGCCTGGATGAAGCCTGGAGAGAGGAGTACAGTGTGTACCTGTCCTTCCCTGACCCAAAGAAACCAAATAAAGTCACTGTAGGTCAGTGGGGTCTTTGATAAACTCAACTTTGACAACTCTGATATGAGCCTGTGTGAGACGTAAAGGCATCTCGCTTAAACGTCATACATTACGAAAAATTGACTCATGTGAGCTCATCAAAAAATATCTGGAGTTTTTTACATTCACACATGCTTGATTAATCCTGGTTTATTAATCTGTCTACATGTCCACATCTCAAAATGCTCTGTTCCACCTTGCAGTAGTTTTCAAGTTAACAGCTATCTTTTAACTTTAGTTTAGTAGAGATGGGCAATTACAGTGTTGAAATCATCCAAATTATTCTAGTGAATGTGTATGGAGTTTACACAGTGGAGCACCTCCTATAGTAACACATGACATTACAAGGTGGGACAATGTTTCCATTTAAAAGAAGAACTTAGCCTAAATATGCAGGATTTGTGTGTTAAACATGTGTGACTGAAATAAAATACAACTCCAGGTATGTTTGTGAAGAGGAAAATAACATTATAACACAGGTAAAAAAAATAGTGTAATTGGACCCTTCTTGTATTCAAGTGGAATGCGTCAAATGCAGTGCTGCACACTCTGAGAGAAAAGGAAATAAGTTATACTTCAGACCAAGATGACCCCAATGTAGTGCCCCCTACGCTGCGTACTCACTCACCTCCAGGCAACGTCAAGGTAAATAAAAGTACTTACTAGTCCTAAAAATCCTACTTTAGTATTTTAATGTTGCCTTTGATTAAAATGCATCTGGCAAACATTAACAGGTCTGATAAAGATTTGCCATGTCATATTGAGTTGAATCTCCAACACTGTTTGATCAGATAATGACCCAGATAATGAGTTTGTGTCATGATCAATGGATATTTTATTTGGTCTCAGGGAAAACTGGTCTATGCCAACTATGGAAGGCCAAGTGATTACATGCTCCTGAACCAGACTGTGGACCTGAGAGGCACTATTGCCATCACTAGATATGGAGGAGCAGGTAGAGGTGCTAAGGTACAGTGTGTACAACTCAAATACCAATATTTTCTATTTACTATGTGTTGAAATATGGCTGAAAAAACAAACACTTATGTAGTGATTTTTATGCAGGCCATTAATGGAGAGCCCTATGGTGTTGTGGGTGTATTAGTTTACACTGACCCTTATGACATCAACGATGGTCTTATGTCTGACCAGAATGAGACATACCCTCACTCGTGGTACCTGCCCCCTACTGGGGTGGAAAGGGGTGCATTTAGCACTCTTTTTGGAGATATGCTCACACCATACCTGGCTGCTAAAGGTATTGTCCAAAATGATGCATTCACTGTAAAGTTATGTGAAAATATTATAATACTGAAGACTTTTTTGTCTTCAAAGATCACACATACAGAATTCCTGTCGAGGACATCCCAGGCCTTCCCCCAATTCCAGTACAACCAATAGGATTTGAGGACGCCTCCTTACTGATCTGGTCTGTGATATGTTTGATATGTCATGTCCTGAAAGTTGTGGAATATCAAGAGCTCTAAACATTTGGTGTTCCTACAGCGCTCTGGATGGGAAGGCAGCCCCAGTTGACTGGCAAGGATCATTTAAATGCCAATACAACTTTGGTGGTCCTGGGTTTAAAACTACATCCACCTTTAAAGACAGGTAGAAATCTCCACTGATACTTGTTTTATGGATTCAACTCATAAAGTGAGACCTAAGGGAATAACCTTGATAGTTAAATAGGGTTAATAATTTGCATTAAGCTACAGTTAAATATCACCCTAAAACCATAAATATATTTAAAACTATTATGCAGTTTAATTCTTTTGTATGAGAGGAGGCATATGATGACACAGGTCTCTTTTTCAGTGAGGTGAAACTGGACATTGGCAACTATAACACAGTGAAGAACTCCTCAAATGTAATGGGAGTCATCAGAGGAAGTGTGGAGCCTGGTGAGACCAATAATAACGTAATGTTTTTTATAAAGAGGTTTGTATTACATTTGTGTCACATAAGCATATATTATGTTGCCAGACCGGTATGTCATGTATGGGAACCACAGGGACAGTTTGGTCCATGGTGCCATAGACCCCAGCAGTGGGACTTCTGTGATGCTGGAGATCACTCGAGTGCTGGGCAGGCTGGTGAAGCAGGGTGAGCACTGACCTCCACCACCCACACACAACTGTAAAACACCTGTAAAATCATGCACACTGTGCTACATTTGTGCAGGCAAATGGAGACCCCGTAGGTCCATTATATTTGGTAAGCTGGGGAGCAGAGGAGTTTGGCCTTATTGGCTCCACAGAATATACTGAGGTAACATTACATTGTACACCCATACACATAAAAAGGTTTCTTTTACATTTATTTCTGACATTGTTTACCCTAGCAATACTTCGCCAAGCTCAGTGAGCGCACACTGTTGCTTACATCAATGTGGATATAGCTGTTTTTGGTAAGAATTTCAGGGTTAACGTTACATTCTAACACCCCCTTAAACTAACCACAGGCTAACCATTTTACATTCAATTTTCATTTTAATATTTTAGCTAATGCCACTCTAACTGCATCTACAATGCCATCTATTCAGAATGTTGTCTTCACTGCTGCTAAACAGGTAAACCTACAAAAACACTATATACTAATACTAATATTTATTTATTATTAATGTGTTTTTACATAATTAACTGATGTTCCCAGGTCAATGCACCTGGACTACAATCTACAACTGTGTATGAGAACTGGATCAAATATTCAAACAAAACCAGTCCGACTCATGGTGTCATCCCCCGGTATGTGATACTCTCATTGACTGCTCTTATTTTCTAATTTTTTTTTACAATCTCTGCAACTTTCTGCTGTTCAAACAAAATACACTGTATATAATGTTCTTCACTGTGACAGCATTGGATACCTGACAGGAGCAGGGAGTGACTACGCTTCTTTTGTCCATTACCTGGGAATCACCTCTTTGGACATGTCATACACTTATGATCGGGTAATTTGACACATTACTATTTTCTATTTAGGAAATTTCCAATGTGTAACTTTTTTTTTCCAAGTTGTAGTTTTTTTTTGTGTTTTATTCTGGACAGAGTAAAACAAGAGCAAGAATTTACCCAGCATACCACACAGCTTATGACACATTTGACTATGCTTCAAAATACATTGATCCTGGTTAGTATTGCTGCATATTTTTACATGTTTAATTTCTATTATTCACCAAGTACTTCTGGGGTACTTCAACCTTG